CGAACTCCACACGCACATTACGTGGAAGGAGTTCGAGCAGCTATGGTTCACCAGATTCATGGTCCGCAACGTCGTGAAGATGGCCATGAACGAGGTCTACACATTCTCTCAAGGGAACATGCCAACGCGAGACTGGGCATCAAAATGGCAGAAGATAGTGACCACGCCAGGCTTCGACTTGACGTTCCCTAATCAACGATCCGAGTTCTTCTCGAGATCGTGCGCAGGATTGCGGTCGGCACTCGGCAACGAGTACGACTATACTACGTTCCAGGCCATTCTGGATAGAACGAACTTAGTCATCCAAAYGRACRWCAAGGCCGCTAACGAGAGGCAATCCCAGCCGCATTATGTGGCTAAACAGGCCTATCAAGGTCCGACACATAACAATGCCGTGTTTTCTGAGGAAATCGACGACCACCACGCTGCGGCAGCATTCTCGAGTGATGGAGGAATGGTCGCAGCACTCCCGCCGAAGCGTCCGAAGAGAGTTCGCAAGAACAAGGCGACACAAGAGACAGTGGCGACGGGAGCTGGGCAGCAGCCATGGGCGGCTTATAAGATCACCAAGGAGGTCTATGACCTTCGTCAAAAGTACGCATACTGCCTATGGTGCAACAGTGTAGTACACACTACCGCACAATGCCCGGACAAGGGCAAAGCACGCGTACCCCGTCCAGCCAACTCGGGAAACTGAGTTACGCAAGGAGAGGAGCGACGTCTCTCCTCACTCCGCCGGACCCGGTTGCCTTGCGAGCAATCGATGTCACTACCGTGGAGCATGCGTTAGTCGTTAATCCTCGTGCTACGTACGAGGATTATGCCGCCCAGCTGGTACCACCATTAGACCAGCCAAGCCACGTGCACTTAGCTAGCGTATGCGCAACCTGTACACCGTCGGCAAGTGATCCGGTCAGTTCGCCACTGATTTCTGAGGACTCGACGGCGTGGTCAAGACTTGAGGAGCTTGACCCGCTCACGAGAGAGGACTTCGCCTGGATGCCTCTACCCTCGACCGGAACCTTGCCAAGGCCGCATTGCAACGCCTTGATGGAAACTCTACGCTCCTATTTACACACTACAGTACCAGCCCTGTTGACGGACGACAGGGTAGCGGTTGCCGATCTCCGCTCCTATCTTGCGAAGATCGACAGCGAGCACGCCACCCAAAGGTACGCTGAAACCGACGCACCTTTGCTCTATATCCGCATTCAAATCGGAAAGGCAACCTGTAGTGCCTTGATTGATTGTGGAGCGTCTCGCAACTTCATRAGTCAAGCCTTTATGGCCCGCGCAGGTCTTGGCCCGCGCGTTCGAAGAAAGACGCAACCTACGCAAGTTACACTCGCGGACGGCCGCACACAAAAGTCAATTGTCCGATGCGTCGACGGCGTTCTGGTCTACTTTGCGCCACTTGCGTGCGAGCCGGTGTCTTTTGACATTCTCGACACCAAGTTCGATATGATTCTAGGCATGTATTGGTTGCGTAGCGCCGATCATCCGGTGAACTTCGATGACCGAGCCGTTCACATCCGTGATCGGAACGGAGTGTTAGTCCCATGTACGGTCGCGACCCCTCACACTTCGATTGCTTGTCACATGGTTTCCGTTGCGCGGATTCGCGACGCCATTGCTCGGAATGACGTCGAGGAGATGGGCCTTGTATTCTTGCATGCTCTTCCCTCGCCGGACGGACCAGCTGCGTCACCGCCGGACCCACGCATTTCTTACCTCTTGGACGAGTACAGAGACGTCTTCGAGGCTCTCACAGTAACGGTTCCGGATCGGCCCATACGTCACGGGATCACTCTCGAGGCTGGCGCTGTCCCTCCGCGTGGATGTATCTACCGCATGAGCGAAGAGGAACTCGAGGTGCTTCGCGCACAACTCGATGATCTTCTCAACAAGGGTTGGATTCGCCCTAGTTGCTCGCCATACGGAGCACCTGTTATCTTCGTCCGTAAGAAGAACAAAGATCTACGGTTATGCATCGACTATCGGAAACTAAACGCACAAACCGTAAAGAACGCCGGCCCTCTCCCTCGGATTGATGATCTCCTTGAGCGGTTAGGCGGCGCGACGTACTTCTCGAAGTTGGATTTGAAGTCAGGTTACCACCAGATTGAAATCCAGCCTCAAGACCGGTACAAGACCGCGTTCAAGACGCGGTATGGGCATTTTGAGTGGGTTGTCATGCCATTTGGCCTCACCAATGCCCCCGCAACGTTTCAAGCAGCGATGACTATTGAGTTTCGCGACTTGCTTGATCGCAGCGTCCTCATATACCTTGATGATATCTTGGTTTATAGTAGGACGTTGGAGGAGCACATCGTACACCTTCGCGTTGTTTTGAATCGTTTGCGACTAGCCAAGTACAAAGCGAATCTCGAAAAGTGCGAATTCCCCAGGCAAGAGCTTGAGTACTTGGGCCATTTTGTCACGCCGAAAGACATTCGTCCCTTAGCGGACAAGATCCAAGCCATTGTGGATGGGTCGGAACCCCGTTGCACGACGGATGTATGCTCTTTCATGGGATTGGCTGGATACTCGAAAGTGACCGCTCCTTTGTCGAGACTTCAGTCCCCGAAGGTTCCCTTCGAGTTCGACGACGCAGCCCGTGGCGCGTTCACTACGTTGAAGGCAGCGATGCAAGCYGCACCTGCCCTCCGTATATATGACCCCACCCTACCCWYCCAAGTGACTRYSGACGCTTCGGGATACGGTATTGGTGCGGTGTTGGAACAGTGTCACGAGGACGGTTGGCATCCGGTTGAGTACTTCTCCCAGAAGGTGCCTCTCGTCAACAATCTTGATGATACTAGGAAGAAAGAGCTATTCGCGTTCGTCACCGTCCTCAAACGGTGGCGCCACTTTCTTCTCGGTCGTCGGTGTTTTAAATGGAATACGGATAACAATCCGTTGACATTTTACAAAACGCAGGACACGGTCACTAGTACGATCGGTTGATGGATGTATTACATCGACCAGTTCGATTTTGACCAGTGTCACATTCCCGGTCCCGCCAATCGAGTTGCGGACGCCCTCTCACGACGGCCCGACTTTTGTGCCATTGTGACCACGACATTCGACCTCGATGACGATCTGCAGCAGCATTTCGTCAAAGGCTACAAGTCCGATCCGACTTACTCTACGCTTTACACAGAGCTTTCATCGGATCACCCGCCGGCTAGCCATTATCGGATTTCCGATGGGTTCCTTCTCCTTCACACGAGAGGAAATGACTTGTTAGTTGTGCCCCAAGATCGTATCTTACAGACTCGTCTTCTCGGTGAATTCCACGATGCACGACTTTCGGCACACCTTGGCGTGAACCGCACACTCGCACGCCTCCGCCAGCATTTTCACTGGCCCGACGTCCTTCACGACGTCACGAGGTACATTGAGTCATGTGCAGTTTGCCACCGWAACAAGGGTCGATCTCGAGTCCCCTTCGGCGAACTGAAACCGTTGCCGATCCCTCCGGCACCATGCCTCTCCATTGCTATGGACGTGACAGGCCCGTTTCCCCGCGATCGCCACAGCCATGACGGTATTATCACGGTCGTTGACCGTTTGAGAAAGTATGCTCGCTTTCTTCCTTGCAAGTATCATGTTGCAGCGCCTGAGCTCGCACGACTCTTGCACACCGGTTGGATTACCAACCAAGGTGTTCCGGAAGACATAGTGAGAGACCGAGACACTCGCTTCATGTCAGCCTTTTGGACTTCTCTCATGACAGAGTCCGGCACGACAATGAAGCCGAGCTCGGCTCAGCACCCACAGACGGATGGTCAGACGGAGCGAGCRCACCAGACCGCTCAGATGATGATGCGTACGCTCATCCGTCCCGACCAGAAAGATTGGGTTGACCGGCTTCCCGACATCGAGTTCGCCTACAACACTTCGGTGCACCCGGCGATCTGCGTCACACCATTCGAGCTACATCATGGTGGAGAGAAAGCACGGATCTTCGCTGATCTCCTCTTGCCA